GCGAGTAGAAGCGTGTATTATGATACGGTGATCCGAGAGGTGTTGCGTTTGTCCGTTCTCCAAATTCGTAGTAGATGGGGTAATCTCGATGGAAACGATAATTCTCGTCCTGCGCGAAGGCATCCAATACGCTTTGAGGAATGGGGTCGTCTTCAAGATACTTCACAGCTGCATACCATTGGATTTTCTGAAAGAACGGGTATCGGAATTTCCTTGGGACCTTTGTATCCTTTTCAATCTTGGCTATTTTGATCTGCATCCCATAGTTCAGTCTTGTAAGGAAATTACCTCCGATAACTAAGCTATCCTTAGGAGTCCATACGGCATGGATCCAACCGGAGGGAATCAACATTGTGTCCCCTTCAGAAAGATCAACCCGATAACATTCCTTAGTTTGGTCCCCAAGGAAGGTAGAGTCTTGGGCAGGTGAATTACACCACTCTTCGTATTTTTTCAAGTGTTTATCCTTAGGCGGTATGAAGAAGAATGTCTTCTTGCCCTTCAGAATGTGATAGTATACTGATGAGCCGCCGAAATCAATGTGGAAATCCGTGTAGCAGTCAGCGACGGACATAAGACAGTAAAACTGGACTTTGGGATAATCCCCAAGTGCCTTTAGATCTTCCGGCCATACTGAATCTTGTAAATCAAGATCACGCACGATCTTCGGTCGACGAATCAATTTGCCCAGTTTACTCTGCGACACCTCCAGGCTGATGACGTTCCGAACGACCTTAGATCCCGCAGTTTCATAGTAGTCGGCCCATTTCTGCATCGTCCACCTTTTATCTTCGCCTTGCTGTGATTTAACGTCTATCACCTCTACCCTTTCTTCAGGCCCATATAGCTCTGCAACCGCTCTGACTGTGAGGCCCTGAGGAATGACCATATCTAATTGATCTTGGCCACAGTCAAACACAGTCTCAACACCTTGAGATTCTTCCTGCGCGTGTTCCAACAGCTCGTCGAACATTTCCTGGGTAGAAGCTTCTTGGACGAGTGCATCATAGTCGGGACTGCTAGTCGAGATCGGATCCCGGGTGTTTAAATGGGCTGGTATTACAATTGGCTCTGTCATGCCATTCCCTCGCTCAAAGTATTCTGCCGTGACTAGCTCTGGGCGCATGCGAGGAAAGCTTTCTGGTAGAAAGCGAATTTTGCCTTGTCGAATAGGTTCAATGTAGTGGTGCTCCATCGAGTCCGTAGCGGTCTTAACAAGTCCCTGGTTGAGACCAGCATAATCGATCGCAGTACGGGCACGGGAAGACTTGCGAACAAAGGTAGTCTGTCCGTGAACTGGTCGACACCCACGGCAAATAAACTTGTCAACCGTCCGAATTTCGCGGTCATTTTTGAAACCCGCGCAGACAATATGGAACCAGCGCTTGCAGCCGTCACAGCTGATCCATGTGACATCGCCTTGTTCGCCAGTGTCCATCGGTATTCGGACGAGGTTACAAGCCGCACAAGTTGCTTGACCAGACTCTTCAGACTCTGTGTCGTCTTCTACCTTGGAAGGAAGGCTTCGCAATATTTGAGGCTCAGTGGTGGTGGGGGGCTGCGTATCATATTGAGAGTTGTTGGCCACCGGATTTGTAGAAGGCCAATTTCTCTCTGCACTATTTACTTCTTCCTGCCATATAATTGGCTGAAGGCTGGAGGAGCTTGTGTTCGGTCGCGTACTATGCATGGGGGGCCGAGAAAGAACAGCCGATCCGTCGGATTGAGATCTCATCCTGGATGGCGGAAGATTCCCGTGGCCCGAAGTATTGTAAGCAGATTTATCTTCGACTAAGTCAATGTACGAAGCCCCTAAACCATCCTTAACATGACGTTTCGCTTCATTTCCATATTGACGATATGACTCGTCTATGCTCGCTCGTTTCGAGGAAGGGGCGGTATGATGGAAATTGGACGGCCTCGCAAAATTCAACAATAGCTCCGCATCTGTTTTCATGCTGTCGAAAGCTGATGGCGGGTTTAGATCTGATATTGCGCCCATACGATGCTGATGAGATGGAGAAGGATCTTTTTCCGACCGCGGGCGTTTAGCCGGACGCTCTGTGAAGTCTACGGGCTCTGACGGGAAAAGTGACATGGTCGATGTAGAATTCTGCGACGGAGGACGGTAGGATAGAGGTGCAAAAGTAGGACTCGTCGCGAGAGCAATCGTCGCAAGGGTGTCGATCGTCGAACTTGACCTACCATGGCCGGATCTTTGATGAGACACGCTATTCGCTGTAGCATATCGACTGTTATTATGTGTGAACTGGTCGCGATCAAAGGTAGCGACTCTAGGCGCGCAGCGGTCGACCCACGAAGCTCGAGTATCGCCGGTTGTGCAGGGAGAAATTGGCTCAACGGCGCGTCGCGGAGGCGAAGGAGTGCGATAGCGTGGCGGTCGACTGCCCGAGTGATTTAAGAAAGATGTAGCGGTAATCATATTGAAGCTGGGATATAGAGTCAAAGGGTAAAGGGCGCAGAGGTAAAACCGGAGGTGACAAGGTATTTTGCGGCAAGCGGGCAAAGCGGGGATGTAACGACCACACGGGCTATAGAGAGGCCACCGCAGGCAAATGGAGAGTCATTCCTGGCAAAACGAACGGCGCGCACTGGATAATATAATGATATCCGAAGCGGGGTGAGATGATCGATGTTGAGTAAGAAGAGGCGTTGACGGAGAAGAGTCGCACGGCGGAACACTGGGAGGTTGAGGGGGGAAGATCAGTCTGCCGACTAGTCGAGAGCGGCGGGAGGACGCAGCACCGAGGACGCACCGCGGGTGCGGCCAAAATTAAGAAAGACACTACAGAAACAGCAGAGCTCTGGGGGATTAAGGGAAACTAAACGATTGGATAGCGCACAGTGAAAGTAATTGATGGGATGAGGTGTGGGATGGAACAGATGTGAATTGCGGCGACGGGAGGCCGAAGAGGAGAGCGCGAGTGAAGGCAAGGCGGGCGCGGCGCCGGAAGTCTGCCTCAGCCTTCAGGCCATCCTCATATCTGCCTATCGTTTGCGGCCAAACGGTACTAGATAGCAGTCGATCACAGCTGGTTAGGTGGATTGTGTCTTCGACTTATACAGCGAGGCGATTGCATGAGGCCTCTCCCAGACAGCTTGGCTCCAGACCAGTTTTGTCAACCCCTACTGCTACGAATTTCTCATCTTTTAGAAGTGTAGATCGGTAATGTTTCTGGTAATGCTTGTCTTCGTGAGGAACCAACAAAGTGAGGCTCCTCCGGGGCCCTAGTCCTAATCAGGAAAGGCATCCCCCGTTTCCGACCTCGTGGTCATCACGGTTCAGTGACACTCTCTTCTTCCTATTCTTCTTTCTTCTTTCTAACAGAACGATCCCAGTCCCGTTGGGTATCTACTCGACACAATACATCGCCCTACCAAATTTTAGGACCATCACTGTCCCACCCGAGAATGAGCCGGAAGCTCGCCCCCGAAGCCAATCGGTAAGTTATCACGAACAAATCTGCCCCTCCTACATTAATTTGGATTTGCCCGATAGCGTAACTATCATATACGCGTTCGGAGCCTCATTTGTGGCCGGTTAGTCTCATTCAATGTACTGACAGCGGTTAGGATCCTCTTTGTCAAGAACCTCAAGTATGTTCATCCGTCGTGATAAGCTGGCCTACCAGAGCCGAGCAGTGCATGCCTGGCGTGTTTGATTAACTCGAGAGAAGGATATATGCATGATTTGAGGAGAAAAAAAAGCTAATAAAGAGGCTGTTTGTATAGCTATAACGTAACTGCTGAGCAACTATTCGACCTTTTTGGCAAGTTCGGTCCTATCAGGTATGCTAGTCGGAAAGGAAGCATAAAAATTTTCCCATTGTTCGTCTGTAGACTAACCTTCTGTCTCTAGACAAATACGTCAGGGAATTGCGAACAACTCGAAGGGCACTGCATTTGTAGTATACGAAGACGTTCACGACGCCAAACAGGCATGCGATAAGCTCAATGGATTCAACTTCCAGAACAGATACCTCGTCGGTACGTATTGGATTGGACGTACTCGACTTAGTCGAAGTGAGGCTTGGCTGACCCTCTGCCACTAGTACTATACCACCAGCCAGAGAAAATGCTCAAATCGAAAGAGGACTTGGCGGAAAGGCAAGAGAATTTGGAACGTCTTAAACAGCAGCACGGTATAGAATGACGTTACGATTCTTTTTCTTGCTTTTCTCTGTGTACCCTTTGCAGGCATCTGGCTGCGTATTATCATGGGTTGGTTGTGGGGTTTCTGGCGTTTTAGTCTTATGGGTTTCGTGACTCTTATTCATGGATACTAGTATGAGGGTGGCCGACGGGTTGAATGATACTCTCTGGCTATTGACCAGGGAAATGATACAGAATGGGATCTTTCAGGCTGGGTCAGTTCCACCATTCCGGCCGGTTATTAGCTACTATCAATATAATCGCTCTCGATCGCCGGCCACTGTGGGCTGTCGCGGTTAACCTATGAGACCAGCTTATTGTGCATCCTTAAAAAAAAAAAAAATACACACAATGAAACCTAGGGGACAAGTGACTGAGACGGTCTACGTGCTCAATGCCTAGGGAATCGCAAAACGAACGGCTTCCCGAATCAACTGGCTGTTACGTGTGGTCCATGATGTTTACCCCATGGAGTGTAGATCTAATCTGAAGATCATGCGGCCCTGCATGATCGGACAGAGGGCTCCCCTGACAGATCCGCGTAAGCTTATTTCAGTTAGTCTAGAGGGCCTTAGGGGAGGCTTGGACAGTTGGGCAACTATAATACGGGTATGTACCCACACCTTATTCGTCAGTTTTGACGGTAGGGCATGCGACTAATTCTCATGTCATGGTTGGAGCCCTTGTCAAGGTGCCACCGTCATAGGAGCACTGCGGTACCAGTAGTAAAAAGTGATAAAACACCCGTGTTCAACCTCAGCTCCACACTCCGTACAAGGCGTTGCCTTATACATTATGCACAAGTCAAGCTCGGTCCGGGATCATTTATCGTGGCACCAAACATGTTGGGTGGCTTTTGTCTTCCTATTGGAGGTGCAAAATGAATCAAGTCGCCGATCAGAATCATGAGAGAAGAATATTGAAGAAGCACAAAATCCCACCGGGGAAGGGGGGAGGGAGAATAAATTAATACAAAAAGTGATTAGTAGACATGCAACTCTTGAAGCCTTGTATTGTTTCTGCCTGTGGGTTAAGGCATTAAGTATGACCCTAAAAAGGTTAGTCAAGTACCGCCCCACCAGTCAATTTTCTCAAGATTTTCTCGACCGAACAGCGCTCTCTCAAACAATCTTTTCGAGCATACAGATCTGCAAGACGGCAGTGATCCTTTGCGTGAGCCACTCCTCCGTGAAAAAACCAGTCCTCTTTACGAAACCATGTCTGGAGAACCTAATGCTGGTGAGTACGAGTCTGCCTATATTATGCATCTAGATTTGCTCCCGATCGAGCGCTTTCCGATTGTGAGCTAATGTCTCTGTCCCTTTGTAGCTTGGCCTCTGGCCGACGAGAGCCTCACCCAGAACCTCCTGGACCTTGTGCAGCAGGCTTCTCACTACCGCCAGCTGAAGAAGGGAGCCAACGAAGCAACCAAGACCCTCAATCGTGGTACCTCTGAAATCGTCATCCTTGCTGCAGACACCAACCCTCTCGCTATCCTTTTGCACATCCCCCTTCTTTGTGAAGACAAGAATACTCCATATGTATTCGTGCCCAGCAAGCTTGCTCTGGGCCGGGCGACCGGTGTCTCTCGTCCAGTGATCGCGGCTAGCATCACCACCAACGAGGCCAGCGATCTCATGGGACAGATCCGGACCATCAAGGACAAGGTTGAGAGGCTCATGATCTAAGGCATGGGTTATTTGATTGGATGAATGAGATATGGGATATCGCAGCAATTTTTATTCCTGGATTCGGTGGGTTCGCATTTAAATGAAAGACACAACAACAGATGTGGACCATCCTTTCTCGATACCTCCCTTATGCGGGAGATGCTATCTTAGATAATGATGGTCTCTCCATTGATTATATATTGGGATCATTCATTAAGATAGACATGCATATCCACTTCGATCTACAACTGATCAGATATATTCACAAATTGAATAAGGGTCCAGAAGGCAGGGAAAACCTAATATGAATAGTAGTCAGAAACCCGTACAAAGTAATTTGGCCTCTAGCCGCCTTGTAGATTATTGAAAGGATTAATGCGAAACAGATTAACTATGACCCTATCCATCAAGGGTCTAGTGAGTGTCCTCAATCCAAAAATGCTAGCAGTTTAGCTGCCTTAGACTAACCCAAAAGGTTGGGAACTAGTGGATAGCTCCGCCTACGGGCGGGGGCGGTGTCTCGTCCTGGCACCGCCGCTTCTCGCGCTATGTCTCTGTTCCCCATTCTCAGATAACTGTAAAAACCCTCCTGGCTGGCTCAGGCTCCTTGCTGGTAAAGGAGCACCTTTCCTGCGGTTGACATTCACACATGTCAAGTCCACCCAGTTTTCACAGCGATACTCGTCCGTATGTGCGTTAAACGGGCTTCCCCCGTTGTATAGGGAGCCTTCTTTTACATGAGCAGACAACTTCATATCACTCACTCTAACTTGAACCTCACACTTATTAACCCTCATTCCAGCGATTCCACCCGACATATTTCACCTCAAAGATAGAAATAGGCCGGCCATGCCTTTCTCAACGTTTACTTCGGTAGCCAGTGTGGCGATTACTATCTCATGTTTCATCAGCAGCGTTTCCGCTGGCGACGTGGACTTGGTTTCTAGCACTCTAACAACACCACTGCCGACTCCGACTTCTCAGACTATTCCTTTTTCGCTGGCAGGCCCAGATCCAAGTGGAGATAATGATGACACTGGAGAATGCAGACTGTTAGGTCCTTTCTCTCTTTTGGTGCAAGTCGCTCTCGGAGCGTTGGCACTTTTATCCCTTGTCTATAAGAGATGGAGGGAAAGACCTCAGCGACCTTTAAAAGTGTGGGCGTTCGATGTTTCTAAGCAGGTCTTCGGATCGGCTATGCTACATCTGGCGAATCTGCTCATGTCTATGTTCTCGGCCGGTCAATTAGAGATTACGAGCGAGTACAAACCGAACCCATGTTCTTTCTACATACTAAACCTAGGGATTGATGTAAGTTCCTCCGTTTCGTACATCTATTTCTTCTTAGCGACCTGCTAATACTAATTGCAGACTACTCTCGGGATACCGATTCTCATTTTCATCCTCCACATTCTGAACCGCCTGGCTCTTTACACACCTCTTGCAGATCCCCCAGAATCTATTAAGTCTGGAAACTACGGTCGTCCACCACAAGCGACCTGGTGGTTCAAACAATCTATGATATACTTCGTGGGACTTTTGGGAATGAAGATATGCGTCTTTTTCCTCATTCAACTCTTGCCATTTATTGTCAAGGTGGGCGACTGGGCTCTGCGATGGACGGAGGGTAACACAGCCGTCCAAATCATCTTTGTTATGCTGCTTTTCCCGGTAATCATGAATGCGATTCAATATTACATCATCGATATATTCATCAAGAAGCCATCGCATGAAATGCTAGAAGAGAGTGAAGTTGACGACGTTCTGGACGACAGACACGATCACCATCATGCCTTGTTAGCCGGGATGGATGAGGAGGTCGCGTCAGAATCAGAAGATGACTCTGTTGGAAAGGACACTAGGAAAGTACTCGTGAGCCCTCCCCAAAAGGACGTCGTGCGCATATATGACTCTGCCGAGTACCATCCAACAAGCGAACCGGGGCACAGTTCTGCATCATCAACATTTGCTGGACCTCACGCCGGACATGTTGAAGATGATCAGACGTTGTCATCGGCAGATTTTGCAACACAACAAAAAGATCATGACTAGCCTATGCTTTGGAAGGGTGTTTAAGTCGGCGTTTATGATCGGTAGTTGTCATGGTGGCATTGTTATGGTTTGGATCCATTGGTATAAGGTCGGAATTGATTGTGACTTTGTTCTATTTTACCTCTTCTCCTTTGTTCATATTGCTGTCTTTTCTCAATGTCCAGAGAATTCGCGTTGAGTTGGTAGGTTTTCATAAACCGGCCCAGGTATCTGTCTCAACACTCGTAGGTATCAAAATGTTCTTGCCTGAAAATTGCGTACCCTAAGGCACCCTTTTCTACCGCAGAACCCACCGCCCACTTCTGCCGGATGAATGAAGAAAATTATCTCTTCAATTCTGCTGCTTGCTTTATTTTCCTTTCATTGGGAAGCCGTTTTTCTCATCCTTCCTACCTTATAATAGGTCATATACATCCTAGTAAATCCCTAAGGGTCAAGTGACTTACATAATGCCTAAAACCAGTGTCAAGCAAAAAGCACGCCAGAAATTCAAGCCGACTTCACGTTCGCCGTTCGAGAATGCTAGGGCTACTCAGGAAGACAGCGACGGAGAAATGAACAGCAACATGAGCGACGACACTGATGATATCCCTGAAAAAGATGAGGCGGAGAAAAAATTGGAAAGGCTGCTCTTTGGTGATGACGAGGGTTTTCAAGGCGCATTGAAGAGCCAAAAGGAGCGCAGCCTCGTAGCTCTATCAAAAGAAAGCGACGATGAGGGCTCTGACGCAGAGCATGAGACTGGAACCGAAGATCAAGAACTTGATGGCGTTGCTGATGCTGATGTACGTATACACCTCCCTCCCACCCTCTCCCCCACCCTCGTCTCCTTTCTCTCTACCAAAAGAAAAAAGAAAAGAAAAACTGTCAAACTCTTGGTCGCGCTAATGTGATTCCCTTGTAGCTTTTTTTCCTTGATTCTGGAGCTGGACCCGTTTCCACTGACCTCGCCGAATCCCCAGAGACACCTTCTGAAACTGAGGAAGAAGATCTAGAGGAAACTCCGGCTGTGTGGCATGATAGCGACGACGAGCTCCTAGCCGTCTCCCTAGCTAGCCAGCAGAGGTTGAGAAAATTGCGTGTCGCCGAGTCTGAGGATGTGATTAGTGGCAATGAGTATATTCGACGACTTCGCCGCCATTATCAGCAGCTACATCCTACGCCGGAATGGGCGATTCCGGGGCAGCAAAGAAGTCGTGGCGATTCCGACTCTGAGCACGCGGATGTCATGGACACTGATGACGAAGAGCAGACATCTGCACAACCTTTGGCCAAGCTACTTCAAGGTGCCGCTGATCTTACTAAGCTCGAAGATGCACGTCCTGGTGGGAAAAGAAAGCTACGACAGGAAGTTATTGATATTCAAAGACTGAAAGATGTCGGGGGGGATCAGCCAGTAAGTGTGATGTTTGTCTAAGTGTAGGACGGTGGAAATAGCTAACACTGCCTTCTAGTCATCGGTCGATTCGCTTTCTTTTCACCCCCATTATCCATTGCTATTGTCCTCGGGGCCTGCGGCCACTCTCTTCTTACATCATATCGCACCCTCTGCGGCCGTTCCTAACCCTCTTCTCACGTCATTTCATATTCGCCGTACGCCTATTCACACATCTGCTTTCGCTCCCCCAACCGGTAACAAGATATTCGCTTCCGGTCGTCGGCGATACTTCCATATATGGGACCTTAACACAGGAAAGGTTGACAAGGTCAATGGCTCCGCCGACAGAAAAGAGGAACAAAGGTCCATGGAAAGATTCAAGCTCTCCCCATGCGGACGATATGTGGGGCTTGTTGGCACGTCACGCAAGGGCGGTGGTCTCATCAACGTTCTGGATTCGGGTACGGCTCAATGGATTGCACAAGTTCGCGTGGATGGTCAAGGCGGCGTTGCGGACTTCTCCTGGTGGAGTGATGGTGAAGGCATGACAGTCGTCAGTAAAAATGGTGAAGTATCCGAATGGGATGGAAGTCTGAATCAAGTAGTGGCCCGCTGGATGGATGCCGGTGCGGTAGGCACGACAGTCCTTGCTCTTGGAGGACGCTCTGGACGGACACAGTTGGGAGGCGACCGTTGGATTGCAATTGGCAGTTCTAGTGGAGTGGTTAACGTCTATGATCGTCGTGAGTGGGCTGCGGCATACGCAGCACAGTCTTCGGCAGATACTAACACTCCAGCCATCCCACGCAACCCCGAACCCGTACGTGCGCTTGACCAGCTGACGACGCCAATCAGTCACCTGGTGTTTGCGCCGGATGGTCAGTTCTTCGTAATGGCCAGTCGCTGGAAGCGCGATGCCTTGAGAATAGGTATGTCAGCTCTTTTACTTCCCTTCCTTCCGTTTTCAGAGACTAAACGCATCCTAACCATTGCAGTTCATCTTCCATCCTGCACTGTATACCGCAACTGGCCCACGTCTAACACCCCCCTTGGACGTATTTCGTCAGTCGCCGTCTCGCCCAATTCAGAGCAGTTGGCCGTCGGCAACGAGCAGGGGCGTGTTAGGCTTTGGGAAATCCGGGGATAAGCAATCACGAGCGAGGCAAAAGATTGTGCACTATGTATATCTGTAAATAGAATACATTTGGATTAAAAACAAGATTAGTCCATTAGATTACTTTGTCATGGCTCTCTAAGTCCAGAAGATATTTTCTCAGTCTCAATCGCGCGACCATCCATGCCCGGTTCCCCCAAGACAAGTTGTCCTCAAACAATTTGACGAAGGTTGAATTGAATACAGCACTAGGGCCAATTTGTTACTCAGCATAAGGAAGCAGAATCAAAAGAAATGAAGCGAAGTAGATACAACTGGAAGTCAAGAGTTCCTACAATCCTGTGGATAGTGAGCCTGTATTACCCAACACCGGAGCTAGAGCTAATACAACCGATGGATGGCCTTCCATTAGTTCTCCAACTTGTCATTGACGGAAGAGAGGGCAAGATTAAAATGAAACCCGCACCCGATCGCACGCCGCGAATGGGCTACTATCACTCTGCTGTGGTTTTACTAGATCTCTTGCTGTTGGGTAATGGAGTTCTTACTAGGGTCCGCAGTGTGGCCCCGAGGATATCACTAAAGCTCTCGGAAGAATCACTCTTTGCCTAGGGGTGGTGGTAGGGGCTGAATTAGTCGTGATAGAAGAGCTGCTGGGCATGGAAAGGTCCTGGGAGACTGTGCTGCTCCCTGGACATAACCCGGGCAAAATTGTGATCAGCCCTCTTGAAGGGAAGGTATTGCTAGCTGCTCTCGTCACAATAGTAACGTGTGCTTTGGAGGAACGAAGAGCGATGCCACTGTGCCGAGAGGACGGCGCGGTGGTTAGCAGCCTAGCAGGTGCATGTATGCGGAGGGAAGAAGCGGTCACAGTATAGAATCGACTATTAATCTACTCCAGTAGGCCAGATGAGAGTGATCTGGTCGTTCAATTCAATCTTGACCCCGAACACTGGGCCCCAGACGCCAGATGATTCCAGGTAGGGTCACCGAGTTAACAGAGGCATATTTTGGTGGCATTTCAACTGTTCAAGGGGGTTATACTATCCTGTCGGTGAGCAAGATCACTGACTGTTTTTACTGGGAATGCCTCCGTGCTGATAGCGGGTGCTATTGTATGACTTAACGCCCCATAGGTGAATTCCAACGCAGAGGAACTTCCAAGAGTGGCTATATTCTTGTTGAGTCTTGGAAATATTCCAGCTAAGTTTGATGGATTCGATATCCAAGCACAACACTACTTTAGTCACAGAATCGTAGTTTGTTGAACGTAAATTAATTCCCATATGCTGATGTGTATGATAAAATAGATATCTTTTTACCTTTTTTTGATTATTCGCCTTTCCCGTATAAAAACCCCATCGGTCTATATCGTAAACCGAGCCATGTCCCTCATGTTGATATGGCATCCCCTCAGAGAGAAGAAAAAAAAACTAAAAATAAGAAAGAGGAAGTGAAGATGCATCTCCAATGATTAACGCCCAGAGTTAGATCAAAGTTGACAAAAGCCCACATATTAGATAAGGCTCTGCATATCAGCCATATCCCGGATGCCGCAGCTGATGCCTGCCTTAACCCGCTTCAATGTCAATGCAGCAATAAGAGCCGCTCCAACACCAGAACCATCTTCAGCAGCCATGATGACCACCTTATCCTTCTCGTTAGGTGCCCAGTCCAAGATCTCGCGCAGAGCCTGTGCTCCACGGGCCTTGAAGTGGGGATATTTCGTAAAGACAGAGCCGTCCGCGCCCACATGGCAAGACTCAATGTTCTTCTTCTTGCAGATCGCGGCCACACCACACGCCGACAGACGAGCCGCACGAGTGCCGATCAACTCCGCCAAGCGACGGATCATTTCCAGCTCCTGCTGGGTGGCCTTGATGTTTAGCTTGCGCTCCATGAGTTCTTCAGTTTCCTGCAAGTTCTCGTACGGATCCTCCTCGATAGCTGCGAGGAAGGACGCGTCCAGCAAATAAGGTTTCCGGAGCTGGGAGGTGTCTTGACCCTGGAAAATCAGACCAGGCCTCGTCTCCAACAGATCCAGGAGGGCCAGGCGGAATATTTCTCCCAGGTAAAGACCTGCGGTCATCTTCTCGAAAGCTTGCTGTCCTGGACGAGGGGAGTCACGATCGATGATGATGTCATACTTGGTGAGGGGCAGCACAACGTGCTCATTGTCAAAGGCACCGTACTCGCAATTGATCGCCACGGGCATATCTGGGGGTAGATTCTTGTGTGCAAGCTTGGGAACCGAGCCGCAGTTTTCCATATAGGCGGCGTTGACACCAGTGCCGAAAATGCAGCCAATCTTCATATCTGAGTCAGTGTAAGAAGAGGCGATCAGGGTGCCAGTAGTGTCATTGATCAAAGCAGCAACCTTGATAGGAAGGCCCTAGACTGGAGTTAGTCTTCCGGCTCTTGCTCAATTCCAATAAACGTACTCTTTTCCTGAGGATTGCCTCCAATGGGGGGACAACATCATGGCCCTCTACTCCGTCAATGTCGAAGCCCTTGGTCCAACGCTGGAGGACACCATGATCAATATATTCCTGTGTAGCAGGATAGGAGAAGGTGAAGCCCAATGGTAGTTTAGACAGTTTCTCATCCTCGTGGTGGGATTCAATGAACTGTTGCAAACAGTCGGCGATGTATTCCCACAGCTCCTCCGCGGTGCCCGTCTTCAACTCCTCCGGCATACGGTACTTGGACTGAGTGATGTCGAAAGCGCCCTTCTCTTTTGTCAAGGTGATCTCACAGACACGCAGGTTGGTGCCGCCCATGTCCAAAGCGAGGAAGGTTCCCTGCTCGTCGCCATCGGGGAATCCCATTACCCAGGTTACATTCATGGGCTGGAAAAATGAATTAGTTTTTTTGAGTTATAAAAGATGAAGTGAAGTATCCGGATAGGAACTCACAATGTTCCCCCCCTCGACGCTTAGACCTAATCCGCTATCGATCAGCCTTCAACCTCCATCAGCCGAACGGACCGGTGAAAACCCACCCTTTTCGAGCTCCTTCACGAAATGGTCCGCAATCTGCTTGAGTTTGGTACCGTCCACAGTAAAGATGTCCTCGAATTGCTTAATCTGCTCCAACAAGTTCTGGGGGAGCTCATGCATCGATCCTGTAGACGGGATGCCGATGATTAGAAGCCGAATCGGTAAGCCCGCGGCGGGGCATTGCTGATAACAAACTCACCCTTGCGGGATGGGGGACGTTTGGGGCCAATTCCGACCATTGTGATGATTTTAGTTGAGATAGCAAGGGGGGCGGGGAGGAACAATGTGATGTGACTGATAAAAGTAAAACGCGAGTATAGGGAAAATTAATGTTAATAGAGAAGAGAAGTGGGAGAGGGAGCGTTCGGGGAAGGTTAGAGAGTTGAATGATATCAGCGCTGGGCGTGGGGCAGCAGTTGACCCTAAAATACGCATCACCCAAGAAATTTTAAGACCAGAGCCCCGCAAGACTCTCGGCCAGACGGTCAACTCAGTTGAACTCACCGGTCCTTGTTTGGGTATTGTTTTTTTTTCCCATTTTGACTAAATTTACGTAGTTTGATTTGACCCCCGTCCACCTTTTTATTTATTTAATTATTATTATTATTATTATTATTATTATTATTATTATTATTATTATTATTATTATTGCTATTTTCTTTTTCTTTTTCTTTTTTCTTGTTTCACTTTTCTGATCGCCTTGAGTTCCTTCTCAGTCATGTCATACATAAATAGTACCACCACACACATCCTGTATTCTGGTAGATACCCCGCAGGCATTCAAACTCTCCGCATTTCAACATTCCCCAAAGATCGGTGAAGTCCATTTCAGTGACGTATCATTTTTGATAGGGCTACAAGAGCCTGTTGGGTACAAAGAACATCCATCGTGCGTTCTCAGGGTATAGCAAAGTCCAATTTAATTATGTTCATTCTCACTCTAAAAGAAGGATAATGATAATGATAATGCCTTTAACCGGACAGTCACGGGTCAATGAAGGGAGATCTCTCTCTCTCTCTCTCCCCTTTTTGCGGTAAACTACGGGGTCATAAAATAAAATAATAATAATAAAAATAAAAACAACAACCCTTGTCCGAAAGTTTAGACCATGAAGCCACAAAATATATAAATATATTACCACAACGCCATCCCACCCGAGCCACCAATGCATATGGTCATATGATTCTACGTTCTAAATGGCAGAGGGCTTCTTCTCTCGCGCTAAATGGGGGAATACATGTGCCAGACCTTCGTAACTCCGTCGCCGCTCCTCGGTTAGGGCCTTCTTCTCTATTCCATTACTATGCTGGTCTAGATTCTGCCGGACTCGTTGTTGGTATGCATCTGAGATACCTAAAGTGCGGTCAACCTCTTTGGTAAGGCGTTCTATTTCATCTCGCAGCCGCTCATCGTTTGTCTGCGAAGGAGTCCCTTCCGCATCTCGGGCCCCCTTGTCAGGATTCGTGCTCTCCCATAGCGACTCTAATTCCTGTTCCCATCCCAACGCTCGGGCGAATTTCCTAACGCCAGCATCACAGTCGCCTAGAAGAAGGACATCGTCCGGTCGAGATCCCAGTCCACCAACGCGCTCCATGTTAATGAGTACGCGGGGTGCCCCGTCCCGACAAAATGCTGGTAGACTAGCGAAGGGCTGCACAGAGAGACTAGTGCCCATAACAATGCAAAGGTCCGCCTGCTCTGGAAGCGTCCGGTTAAGGAAGAATTCCTCCGGTAATGCTTCGCCGAAGAAAACGATATCGGGCTTCACAAGCCCATTGCATTGGGAGCACCGAGGTACCTCACCCTCATTGATGGACTGCTTCATCAGCTGTTCGGGATATTCAGCCTTGCAGTCGATGCAATGCTGGTTTGCAAAGCTCCCATGTGCTTCAACGATCATATCCCCAGGCACACCTGCCAGCCGCTCGAGACAGTCGATATTTTGTGTGAAATGCTTCATCAAAAGACCCTTTTCATAGAGCAACTTGACAAAGGAATGCGCAATGGTGGGTCGATATCGGCCGGGGGCCAGCTCCCGCGCCAGTGCGTAGAATGGCCTCGGATTCTCCCTGAAAAAGCTAATGTCAAACACATCTTCAGGATCCGTCAGGTCAAGATGGGCCAGATTAGCATAGATTCCCGTTTCTGGGGAGCGAAAATCGGGAATGCCCGCCGAGGTACTAATCCCAGCACCCACCTATCGTAGACCTCGTTAGTCGGAATAGTGGGGGAAAGGGAAAATTCGGGGAGGCATACCATCACCACAATTTGGCAATCATCCTTTGCTTTGATATATTTAGCAACCGCCTCAAGGGTCCGAGCTTCTAGTGCGGAAGGAGGGGTATCTTCATCCACCAAGGTCGACGGTTCATTGCCCATAATGCGAGGCAAACAGCCGGACTTGGGCCTGGCGGGTTGATGTCGGGGTCTGCGACGGCGGCCAATGGTGACGAAGAAATTGTGAAGAGAAGTGGACAAGTCAGGAGAGTCTGGGTAAATTCGTAGCTTTGCTAAGTCGCGAATGACCAAGGTTGATGATTTTCGTTTAACCTGGCGGAGAGAAAATCGTATGGGAAAATAATCTTGAATGACGTCGAATCGACGGTTTACCCGATCGGGGTCTTCTGTATAATTGCCTGAGGCACCTATTGTTGATAGTTCCTATATCCCATTCACCGCCTTCCTCTTCCATCCTTTCAACAACATGCCAGATTAACCCCCATTTCACCCCCGATTTCTTAGTTCCCTTTGGTCAGTCACTTGTTCGCAACCTCCGTAGTGGACAATGCCTGAAGCTAATGTCGGCGAGGTCAATGGACATGCGGTGGCCACATCGCCTTCACTAGCCTCTAGCAAACCTCATCCGAGCCCCTCCTCCGATATCTTCAATGCCAGCTCTCTCGCGGAAATCAAGGCTACTTTATCGCACCTTCACGAACAGGAGACGTCGGTTACAGCCCGATTAGATGCCCTCGTCGCCTCTCAAAAGGATTTTTCACGTGAGCTGGGTCGATTGGATTTGCTCCGTGCGCATCTCGGCTCCCAAACCACCACCACTCGGTCCATAAGCCATGGCATGCTCTCAGAGGCCGCGGCCACCGCAGAGAGAATATCGAGCGCAGTCCGCCGCCTGGATCTGGAACAGTCTAGGGTAAAATCTACTTTAGATGTAGTGGAACAGGTTGCTGAACTTAAGGCATGTGTGCTGGGAGTCGCGGGCTCCATGGGTGCCCCGCAGGATTGGGAAACAGCAGCCAGTTATCTGAACCGGGCATCTAAAGTCCCGCCAGAAGTTGTTCATGGAGCTTTCGCAGCTGAGATGGTGCCCACAGCGGAAGTTCCGGACCCGCCAAATGTAACCTTGGATAATGCGGCTGAATCCCTCTGTGGCTTGTTCTTGCGCGAGTTCGACAAGGCCGTCAAGGAAAACAACGGCGCCAAGATTACCCGGTTTTTCAAGTTATTTCCTCTTATCGGCCGCTCGGAGGTTGGCCTTGATGTCTACGGGCGTTACGTATGCCAGGGCGTGGCGTCACGAGCGCGGTCCAACCTCAACGCTGGGGCAGGAACTCAAAGCAAAGATGGCTTCTTCTACGCTAATGTTCTGACCAAATTATTTGAACATATCGCCCAGATTGTCGATGGTCACGGGGGACTGGTAGAGCGACACTATGGTCCGAGAAAGATGAACCGAGTTATTGAGCGACTACAACTTGAGGCAGATGTCCAAGGCGGTATCATTCTCGACACCTGGGGTGACGAGAGACATGTAGATCGCAAGCTGACTGACATCAAATCATATGCATTTACTTTCCTAGTACAAAGCTTCCTCCCCCCTCAGCGCAGTGCCACACCGCGGTCGAACTCCCCTGCAAATCGGGACGGGGCTTCAACAGCTGAGGATGAGGGTGTTGACATGAAAGAGATCGACGGGTTACTGAATGAAATGGCGGTTATGCTAGGTCGTTGGTCACTATATTGCCGATTCTTGGCAGAAACATGCAATGTGGGTCATGAGTGAACCTTTGTAGTTTTTCCCAACTAACGTCCACAGACTCCTGGTGAAGACGACAAGTTGTTTACACCGCCTCAATTCCTGCAGGAATCCACGTTATCAAAAAAAATCAATGACCGGCTTATATCTCCATTCAACACTATGACCACCTTCTTCTTCCGTCGGACAGTTGAGAAGGCATTCCAGCTAGATGAACAGCCCACTGGCTTAACATTAAACCCGCAAAGGCCGCTGAAGGCTGACCCGCCATATATCACCTCGGCCGTCGATGACATCATGTATATAGTCAACAAGGTCCTACAACAATCACTGGCAACGTCGCAGATCACGGTAGTTACTAATGTAGTGCCGACTCTGTCTCGAGTGCTAGGGTCAGATTTCATTGGGATGACACAACGGAAAATGCGGGACGAATGCTATCCGAGAGCATCGGTACAAGGAGCTCAACCCCCAGAGCATCTGATAGTCTCTTTTTTAGTCTTAGTCAACAATCTGGATGTAGCCGTTGATTACATCCGACGCATCGTCCATTCTCATACCGAGACTAGGAAGACTATAACTGGTCCCGACGGGCAGACTGAAGAGACGGACCAATTGCATTCCCTCTTTCCTATCAATGCAGATGCCAAGCTCGCAGCGCAGACGTTGCAAGCCCTATCGTCATCTTTTGAGTCTAAGGTCAACGACCTTCTGTCCGATGGCATTCAAGTAGTGTTCAACAACGTCATCAAGCATCGTCTGCGACCCATTTTAGCAGACGCATTCCGAGATATTGATTATCAACCCGGAGATGACAATGACCCCACCAGCACGTCGTACCATGAGTACGACCGCGACGAGGATGCGGATGATAATGCCAACCGTGTGGAGCTTGTCCGTCCGCGTTTTGCAGCCAGTTGGGCTGAACTTCTTCTCCCAATATCTCGTATACTTACCGCATCTGCCTTTGACCGCTTATTAGCTATCACGGTGGCTTATCTTTCTCGGCTCTTGGAAAAGCGACTCTGGTCGTATCAAGGCCGTGTCAACACACTGGGCGCTACACGACTTGAACGAGACGTCTCAGGAATTGCTAGCGCAGCAGTGGATGTCGGTGGCACGCACGGGGCACCAGGAAGATACCGCCACCGGGAGGCATTTGCTCGCTGCATGCAGATGACGTTAATTATGGGCATGGATGACGACGAATGGGAAGATGTAATACGTGGAGGCGAGACAGCCGAAGTAGTCGAGAAGCTGAACCGCGAAGAACGGACAAGGGTTCGAGGAATGGTGAGACGACAGGGCACTCAATACTAGTTTAGCGGTAAGCTAACTCGCATCACCTTACCAACGAGTACTATAATATTGTATATTTTTCAAGCATGTTTAAGCACTGCATATATCTTTTCAGGCATTTATATATATATATATTTAAAAAAAAATAAAATAAAATAAAAAGAAAAGAAAAGAAAAGAAAGAAATATTTCTCATTCTTTTTTCCTCTCCTTGCTTTTCTTACACTTTCTAGTATTCTGCTACATCATTATAAATTGATGAATAATATATAACAGAATATGGCTGCCCAAATATTCACCGTACTGCTTTGAGAAGCATATCCACAATAGCAAGGTCTAGAAGACAAAAAAGCAATAAGGAACAAAGAAGTAGGTGAATAGGAAGGTCCGGGTAGGATATTTAAGCAGAGACAACTCTAGATAGTTTAGAAGAGTTGACACATCCATACTTCTTCCTCCTACTTTAATGAGTGTATTGGAGGGTGTTCATGAACAGGTGGTCATCCGATTAGGTTAGGGTTAGGGATCCATCACGGGTAAGAGATAAGAACATAAGAACTAGGTCACGATCGAGGTAACTTGATTTAAGGGTTGAATGAATAGACAATTAATGTCATTAAATAACATTTTACTGACAAATCTATGCATGTGGTATCGGGAAAGATAGAAATCCCCCAAGCAAGCTCTAATTATATACAGATGGAAAAACACGCTCATATCAATCCCAAACGCCAGTTCCAACCAACCCCAGACCACAGGTATCAAAATACAAGAGAAGATTCTGGCTCAGCCAAAACTGTTATAGCAAAGAAACGCACGCTGGATATCACGGAAAACGCAAAATCATAGAATGGAACAAATCCAAAGTCCCGGCACATTACTGTGTTTTCTCATCCTCCTCGACACTGGGCGGTTTTGATCCCTCGTGGGCGGGATGTCGTTCGGCAATCTGACGTGGGGCGGGTGCCATTGGTGGCGCAGGTGCCGGTGCAATCTTGATTTCCTGGATGCCGGAGTCGCCTTCGCTGCAACCGCGACTGTCAATGCCAATGGGGGTATGGCCGTCAAGCATCATTTCGCTGTGTTCCCCAATACCGTACCGTGCAGCGGCGGGGATATGGTGGCCGTCTTCGAGCTGGTCGTGTTTCTGAGGGGTCCATGCAAGATAGTCACGACGGACTTCGACGTAGTCGTAGGCGAACTCGCCAAGCTGATCGTCGTCCATACCAAGCAATTCGGCTTCCTCAGAAGCGCGCAGCTTCAGACCG